TCTGCTTTTTGCCTGTCAGAAGGCATGGCTTTCTGTGCTGAAATCCTGAATGCATTTGCCTGGTCGATGACCTTGGAAACGTTATCAGCATTCTATACGTTTATGTAACTCGGAGTTGGGGTTGGGCATATACTTTTCCATGTGGAAACATTGACATTTCTGAGGAACTATTTTGATTTAAGGATGCCATACAATTTGGGATCTCAATGTACAGACTCAGAGGACTAAATCTGCAATTGAAACTACAAATTCTGCTTTCAGAAATAACTTGTTTTTAAACAAACACAGTGGCAAACCCAAGTTCATTTTAACACTTCTTCTTTCTATAAAACAAAAAAGTGGCAGCATCTCCTGAATATATGTATCTGCCTGTCTTTAAACGTCTATCGACCACCTGATCCATCCGCCCTCCCGGACAAATGCCGACAGCCCCACAAGCGTGACCAACAGGATTAAATAACATGTCTCCAAGGACTGATCGAGAAACATAATAACGGCATGATATTCATATTTTTTCTTTACCTGTAACTTCATTGAAAATAAATACTGAACAGTGATACAAGTACTAGTAATTTGGGGAATTTAATATGGCGTTTTCCATCAATAAAGTGTTTTATCGCCATCGGATAGTTAACCTCCTAACACCATGGTGAACTAATTAGTTCAGTGGGGTTCATATCCTATATTGCTCAAAAGGAATTTTCCTATTATGTCTGTTGTACAGTTGGGAAAAGTACTGAAATATTGCTCGATGAATGAATGCACAAATGTAGTACAAAGGCAATACTTAACTCTGTAGTCCCCATGTGACCCCTTTAATTGAATAGTATGTTAAATTGCAAAGTGTGTTCTGTTTGGAGAAAGCCTTATTTTGAAGGCTTAATATTTCTCTCTCCGCATTTAATTAGCTGTGTGACTTCTGGTGAATCCCTTGAAACTTCTATCCTCAGTTTCCCCATCTGTAAAATGGTGATAATAGTACATCTTTACCTACATTGTTGGTGCCATAAAGAGACCAAATAAAAATATAGGGGAAGGCACTTTATCATTGGATCCTAATAATTATTATAAAAATCTCGCTGAAAGGGGAGAGTGCTTATTCTTTCCCCGTAATTGCTTTAGCACGCTTTGGCACAGTGTTTTCTAATCTTCAGCTCTTCACAAATCGCTTTCATGATTATTGCCATATCTTTGCCTCCCTGTGCTATTATTTGCATAATTTTTTAAAAAGCTTCTTTAAATATAAATACATGTATTTTAAAAGGGAATTTTATATCATTATCATAAATGGGGCTGCAATACTACTTCTATGAATAGAGGGTAATAGTAAAAATAAACAGAATAAAAACCGAGTAATAGATGTTGTTCTAGATAACACTGAGTTTTAGGGCACTGTGTTTTGAGAGGCATTGACTCAGGTGGTGGTGATGGCACTTGTTGACGCTTTGATCACAGAAGGGGGGGACTGGGTGGGGCAGCAAACTGGCCCTGAACCTCAGGCTTGGTCTTCCCAGCCCAGATTGTCTGGCCTGGAGGGTGACAAATTGGAAGCCGCGAGGTTATGACACTAGGGGGGCTGGAAGGGAGAGGTCGATGGCCAATTAGGCTCTTCTCTTTCCTTATACATGAGGGATATTCTTGTGGTGTCTGCTCAGTTGGAATGTGTGACTAACTGCCAAAGAGGGTCACAGGAGAAAAATAAGAAATGCTGTTAATGCTTAGCCAATAAATAGAGCATTTTATTGGATCTGTGTCTGTGAGGAGAACTGCACTCGGTTTTGGAAAACAGGGGCAGATCTGCTCTTCTCTGTGTTGTAAAAGTAAAGGATTTGCCTGACTTCCAAAGTGCTGCTTTTAAAATAGAGAGAACGCAGATACATATGTAAGCTTCCAGCCACTGTGCATCTGGTTTTATGCAGAGTCAACGTAAGATGTATACTTTCCACTGAGGTTTTCATTTAGAACATGATGGGGGGAAAATAAAGCCTTTCTTCCTTGTCCTCCTCTGCCTGCCATTTAGTTGGAGTATGCACAGAAAATAGAAATTTATTAGTCCAATTGAACATACTTAAAAAAGGAAATCTGCCATAAAATCACAAAAACATTTGTTGTATATATATATATATATATATATATATATATATATATATACATACACACACACACACACACATATTATACACATATAAGCTTTTGCACCATTATCTACTTTCAAAGGGCTTGGAAAATTCCAAAGTTACTCGAATCTCAGATCTAGACAGCACAATTCTTTCAGCATTAAAAATGCTTTCGTATTTTATTTTATTGTGTTTCTACAGTTCCATGGAGGTAGAGCAAAAAAGATGCTATAATTCTTGCTAAAAATAGATACCCTGGTTCCACTCTAAGAACAGATAAAACTAAGGTCCAGAGAGGTAACCTCATATTTCCCATAGTTAGTGTGGATTAGAACATGAGGTCTGATTCATCAGAAGTTAAACTTTGATTTCAAAATTATCCTTCCCTGCATAGGGCAGTCCACCCTTCTGTTGATAATCATAGACCCTCTGAGCTTTTGATCTCTCTGCTATCTCTCTTGTGACTTCAAGAGCTTGTAGTTCATCCAAGCTAGGATTTTAATCTATTTCTATACCCACATCATTTTGCATTCATTGAAGAGACTTCCTAGAAATAATTCTAATGATAAGAAAGAGTTCAGTATCAATACTAACAATGTCAGCTATTTCAAACTTTGAGGTATGTCATGTTTTGCAATTTGCCATCCTAAAGCTCATGTGATATTTCTCCCAAATGCATACAGACTTCTGCAATCATGCAGGCTCATCAGGGGAAGTGATAGTCAGGAGTCTAAATGTAGTTCTAGGGGTGCCTGGGTGGCTCAGTCGTTAAGCGTCTGCCTTCAGCTCAGGTCACGATCCCAGGGTCCTGGGATGGATCCCTGCATCGGGCTCCCTGCTCCGCGGGAGGCCTGCTTCTCCCTCTCCCACTCCCCCTGCTTGTGTTCCCTCTCTTGCTGTGTCTCTCTCTGTCAAATAAATAAATAAACAAATAAAATCTTTAAAGAAAAATGCAGTTCTAACAATAAATGGGATCCTCCTGCAAGGGATCTGTATATTTGAAAGACCATTGATTCTTTTCAATTTTCTTAACTCTTGAAAATATAGCTCACTCAAATAATTGTATTCATGAGTAGTTTGATGCAGCTATATGTTATATGTCTTGAATTTCCAGCACTTTTATTACTTTCTTCAAGCCATTTTAAAAGGAAAATAATAATATGCTTAAAGTTCTGTTTCATTGTGCATAGACTACAAACCCATGAGCATCCATTATTAGTACACATTAAAAATTCATTGATGAAAGTTTGAAATTCCTTAAAATCATTTGAAATGCCAACAGGCAATTCTCTATTTCATTGCCATCGATTATAAGAATTCTAAAAATTATTTCCTTGACATCTGCCTGCCTAAAATTACATCCATCGGACTCAAGAAGCACAGATTAATTATTCTTGTTTTCAAGGCTGGAGCTGCAAATGCTTTGAAAAGAAATTGGCCCAATGTACTAGGCACATTACTAATTCAGAAGTGGAATAAAAATCAGTCTCCACATTATGAAAACAAATCCATAAGCACAGGGAACATCAATTTCAGGCTTTCTTTGCTAGTTATATTTAGCTCCTTTTCTTTCTTGCTGTTATCACATGCAAGCATATCCTGGCTTGACTGAAATCTATTTTGCTCTCCTAACGAACTTATACAGCATCTCTCCATAAGACATTATTTCTCTTGTATTCAGACACGTCTCTGAGGCCACATAAAACCATGAGACAATGGAAATGATATACTTTGTAAGGTCTGACTGTTGTTATTCATGACTGAATTGAGAAATATACTAGAGCTAGAATCACATATAACAATTCACGAAGAAATATTTAGATAAAAGTGAACAAAACAAAAATTATAATAAAAATTACAAAGCCTTACTAGAAATATAGTCTCAATCTTAATAAAAACTGTAAATGCAATTAAGGCAATGAGGAAGCTAATGGTGAAGAGCACTAGCTGTATTTTAAGAACACAGACTTTTACGGAATTGCTCTTTAGTCAAAAAGCTTGAAATGATTCCCAGTTTATCATCCAAATTTTGTAAGACTATAATTGATTTCATTGTTTAAATTCAGCTTTATTGCTTCACAAAAATCCGCACAAATGATCTTGTATAATCATTTCCTTCTAAGGTAATACGCTAATTAATTTCAATTAAATATATGTAAAAGAAGATATATTTTGAAAAATGCATCTCCCCTGCCATTTGTTAATATATTGAAAAAGTGTAAACCTTGAAACATTTAGTACAGAAAATATTCATTTTTGGTAATTTCTCAAGGGGGCAATTTATTAAATGAAAGGCTTTTAACATTAGCTAAAAGCAGCCCTGTAAATCATGGGTGTCATCAAACTGCTTCATCACTTCATTAATTTAAAAGATTATTATATGCGTAACTGACATAATTTTGAACAATGTTACATGGTTAATTTATTAATGTAGAAAAGCAGAAATGACACGCTAACTTGATTTATTTTTGTAATTGTATAATTTTAGAACTTTTGCCTATGACTTTCACTAACAGAAGAAATGATTCAGTGTTTCACTGCTAATTTTATCGAGGTTTCTTCCCTGCTAATGCTTTGCCAGTAGTAATGTCTTCTGGTCACTTAATTTTAAAATACATTTCTAAAAGTGCAAGACAAAGCCATTAAAAAAAAAAATTACCTCTTCTTCAAGTCCAGTGGTCTAGGATGTATACCTTTCCACAAGGATGATTATGAGATTCTAATTTTTAAAAGTGGGTTTTGAGCTTTTGGGGAAATGTCATATTATTAAAGCAGTATTGTTTTAATTATGTACATTTATAAATTACTTCTACTTTATATTTTATAATAATCTTTTTTCTGAACATCTATGTGTTTATGAAAATCACCTCAGAGACTTGAATTGTAATGATCTGCTTAAATGATTTTTGAATGATTCCTGGTCTCTTGTTACTGGAGTTGGTAAACCGTCTTGAGTGTTTTGTGAAAGGCTAAGGAAGTAAGAGAAGTTGCCAGGTTAAATTTTATCTCCATCTATTTTTGATCATGCCAGAGAAAAAGAACTCCCCCCACCCCGTCTGATTACAAATCTGAGGCAAGTAATGTATATATACCATCTCTTTCTTTTCTTTTTGTTGTTATTAAATAACAACTGATAATTTATATAAAACTGACTGTATTATTGTTTGGAATAATAAAAATATTTTGAAATGTGAACCTGTAAAACATTTGATTGTATTCTTTTCGTTTAAGCTTAAGTCTTGGTCACAATGCAGCAAAGAAGAGTCTTCTGCCTTGCGTTAAACTTCTAGTCTTTTTAAAAAGCTACAAAAATAGAGATCAGGTCAGAGGTCATAAAACCTGTATTTCAACTATAGAGCACTGAATTCCCCAAGTGAAACACACCCATCAACTTAATTCATAGACATAATCAAATTAGTGACCACAGGGAATGCTCCACAACTCTTATTGTTGTAAGTGCACACAAAAAACGGGAAAAAAAGCTGTGAAAATGGTAGGCACAGTTTGTATATTCTGTTTATCTAGGTACATATAATAAATTCTACCTTAAAGTCTTTTACTTGGCAAATTTCTAAAATTAGAGTGAAATCCCATTTCTCTCTTACGAAATCTCAATCTGTTCCTAGATGTTCAAAAAGGATTATATACAATATAGTTTTAGGTAGAAATTTCCAAGGGCATATGATTAAAAATAAAAGTCCTAGATAGTATTTAAAGCAGTCTAATTTAGCTACTTACCCTGGCGTTTTGTCTATTGATGCTGAAGCTGAAGTGTACTTTACAGAATCTTTCTTAGATTGAAATTGCTAATTATCCAAAGAGCAGCCTCCGTGGATGGTAATAATTTATTCAATGATTCATTGTAAGCATCACAGTCGGCACAGGGCTGGTATCTTCTACTGTGAAGGTTCTCAAGCTCTCAAGCTATTTCTCAAAGAAATATCTGTTAACAAGTTTGCATGGCCAGAGACAGTCTTCTACTAACCCAGAAAGATTTCCTGAATTGATTTTTCTGATTAATTTTGATGCTTCTCAGTAGGTACAAAAGCAAAAGAACTTTCTAAAATATTCCAACTGAACATTTTGAAAAAAAATCCTTCAACATTGGAGTGTCTAAATTTACTGATTATTATTATTATTTTTTTAAGTAATCTCTATGCCCAATGTGGGGCTTGAACTCACATCTCTGAGGTCAAGAGTCACATGTTCTACTGACTGAGGCAGCCAGGTGCCCTACTGATTCATTTTTTTAAACAAATGGAGCAAGAAAGAAGGAAATGAATACTTTTAAAATATATTAGAGATAGGAAAAGTTAGATAAGTTGTTTCCAAACATTGGTGGTCCGCAACAGGCTATGTGTTGCCTAATTAAATTGAAAGGTCTACCTTTAGTCTCACGATACTCAATATTGATCAATATGATCCTCACTCTCTCCCTCCCTTTTCCTCCTGGACCCCTTCCTTCCTACTCTTTGCTATATACTAGGGAAGAGATCCCCCATGAATAATCACAACTTGACTTAGAAAATTCCTACCCACTCCAATAGTTTAATGAAAGAACAGGAAACAGGCACTGAAATTGGGAGGCCAGGGTAACAAAAGGTAACAGGGAATGACAATGGGAGATGTACTGCTGTGTAAGATTTACTGAACTCATCAGCATAATATTGCTCTAAGGAAAACGCTCTAAACCACATGGTGTCTGCCGTGAGGGGTTAAGATCTAAATTAGACTGATGAGACAAGCTGGACAGAAAGTCACCATAAGAAAGCATATGTCCACAGAGTGAAATATTTGAGGTCTATGCAGTTTTAAGATTCAACAAACTTAAGAGTGGAATTTGGCTCTTAGGGGATAAAAACAAATGTCTTCATGCTCCTTACATGAATATTCTTCAGTACAGAGTCATAGAAAATATCTTTTGGTTTCAACAAATCTGCGTCTCCATTCTACTTCTAAGATGAGTTGGAGAAAATCAAAATTCTGTATTAATATTCAGGGCCAAGAACATATGTCCTCACAATGCCTCCGAGAAAACATGAACCTTGAGCCCTGAACCGAGGTGCTCGTTCTTTGTGAAAAGAGTGTAGCAGTTGAAACAACTGAGTTGCATGTCTTTGCTCAGGAAAGATTGGCAATTATGCCAAATTGTGTCTAATAGTTTTAGAATGTGGAAAAGTGTTTATTAATGCCTGAAGGGAGGTCCTAAATCTCCTTTTCCAGTTTTGACTTTAACTCCAGTTTTGACTTTAACTGTCATTTTAAAAGATGAAAGAGCTGGCTTCATTAAGCAAAGGAGACTTGAATTTCATTTTTTTTAATTTAAAACACACACACACCACACCTATCTCTATTTGACAAGACTAGTTATCCTTCTAAGTTCTCTACCTCATTTGCTCATGACATTTTGTTGGATGTTAAACACGAATGTCATTTTCTAGTTGAAACCAGTTGTTCCTTTTCTGTCTTTGTTAGCTTGGACTATTGGCTACTGCATCGTTTTTCATTCTTCTTGGGTTTGTAATTGATATTAAATATTTATGAATTTCATTATTCATTTTAAATTTTGAATTCCTTTTCATGAACAGTACCCCTAAACTCTGGAAGGGGAGAGAGAAGCATAAATACATAAATCACCAAACTAAAAAAAATAGAATTCCTGGCTTTCTTGTTTGTAGTTTTTCGAATGTGCAAGTATTTACTGGATCTGCTACAGCAAGGTTGTGTGTGGGTCCTCGGAAGCAGTTTAGCAGAAGAGCCCTGCCCAGTCTGGAATAGAAGACAAATGTAAAGTCAAACAGTAAGGGAAGATCTAAGTAACTGACAAAAGCCAGAGAGGAGATGTCACCAGACAGTTCCTTGTCAGTTTAACTGAGCAAACATGTGCAGCCCTGGTTTAGAGGAGGTGAGTTTTTATTAGGCTGAGGTGATCAGGAACGTTTTAGAGCAGAACTACAGGTGGATATTGAAGCATAGGTATGATTTGCTGGGAGAAGAGAAGAGGAAGGCCAAAGTTTTAAGGAAATAAAGATCTTAATGCATTGTGCTAACTTTGGCACCACAAAGGGCTCTGGCACATTCATTTAGTAACAGTCAGAGCTCTCCATTGCTCCTTGAAAAACCCCTGATGGCGTGCCCCCCTGGTTTGATCTGCTCCACCACTGAGTGCAAAAGGATCCTGGAAAGTTGCATTGGGTGCTCTCTGCAACTTCCAGTGGGCAAAACGTGCTTGTCTTCTGAACATGGCAGTGCAGGGAGACTTTGCCCATGTCTGTGGTGCGTGTGCACAGTTCTGTCCAGGCTTGGTTGAGGGAAGTCGTGTTAAGTCTCAGGAGCTTTGGGTTGTACAGGAAATGTCCTCTACCATCTGTCTTGCTGGCTGTCTTGGTGTGTTTGATGGGAAGGTGCAGAAACTCAGCCAGCGTCCCTGAGCTCCCCTCAGCATGGGCATGGGTGTCACGGTCCACCAAAGTTTCACATGAATGCCAGGGGCAGGGAGTGACAAAGCTCTTCCCCATCTGCATTGGAGACTCTAAACAACAGCAACAAGTGATTTGGCAGGAAACTAAATTACAGGAGAAAAACATGCTTGTGAGAAATGGAAACACTCCTGAAGCATATAGAGTAGAAAGGACAAGTCCCTGCTATTATATCCTCCAATATTACTTCTTTCCTCAGAGGCAGCCATTATTGAAACTTTCAAGAAGTTTAGTGTTTACTTAAAGTCAAATAAAACACAAATGGAATCATGATACGTTTCTAAAAATTTAACACTGTAACTTGGCTTTCCACATCAATACATGTAGATTTATTGCATTTTTTAATTGGTTGCATTATTTTCCATAGTTTGACTGAATGGCGATTCATTTAATGACCTTCCTACTGATGGGTGTTTAGGTTGTATCCAGTTTCCACGGTAATGAACAATACTACAATGAACATCTTGTAATATATATTTGCTCACCCATTCAATGGGTGTTTAGTTGTATGTTTAGTTGCTAAGAATGCTATGTCACAGTGCATAGACTTAAATATTACATCTTCCATGTTTAATGTCACACAGCATTAAAATTTTAATAAATATTGCTAAATTGACTCAAAAAGATGGCATCAATTTATGTTCTCACAAAAAATTTATGGGAGGACCCATTTTCTCACATTCTTGAGAACAGTAGGTGTGACCACTTTTTTTTTAATTTTAGCACTCTGATGGGAGAAAAGAACATATTTTTAGTTTAGACTATAATTTCCTTAGATTATGTATAATTTTACAAGGTAACCAGTAATATATATTTCCTCTTCCGTGAATTGTCAATTTGTGGTCTTTATAAAATGCTTTTCCACTAGGTTCTTTCCTTTATTGTCTTTAAATCTTTATTCCCTTCAATTTATTTTATATGCCCTTTCAAGACAACTTTGATCTCAGGGAGTCTGATTATTTGAATAAGAAGCCAGTTTCCAAAGCCGACTTTTCGTTGGCATCTTTTCAGATGCACAGAGAAACCACTGGCCCTGGGGATCAGGAACCCCAGGTTTTGCTCCTATGACTGTTTTCAACTAATGGTGTGACCTGGGGCATGTCACATCATCCTCTTTTTTTCCCCTCCAGTTTTATTGAGGTTTAATTGACAAATAAAATTGTATATATTTAAAGTGTACAACCTGATGACTTGATAGATGTATACATTGTAAAATATTTACCACAATCAAGTTAATTAGCACATTCATCACTTCACTTAGTTACCTTTTTGTGTGTGTTGAGTGTTTATGATCTACAATCTTAGCAAATTTCAAGTATACAATACAATATTATTAACTAGAGTCACTACGCTGTACATTAGAGTCTCAGCACTTATGCATTTTATAACTGAAAGTTCGTACCCTTTGACCAGTATTTGCCCATTGCCCACATCCTCCAGCCCCTGGCAACCATCGTTCTACTTTCTATTTTTATGAGTTTGACCTTTTATTGTTTGTTTAGATTCCCCACAAGTGATACTACAACAAATACAATATTTGTTTTTCTCTGCCTGGCTTATTTCACTTAGCCTAATACCCTCTAGGTTCATCCCTATTGTGGCAAATGGCAGAATTGCTTTCTTCTTGATGGCTGAATAATATTCCATTGTATATACATAACACATTTTCTTTATCCATTCATCTATCAACAAACAACTTTGTTTCCATATCTTGGCTATTGTGAATAACACTGTAATGAACATAGGAATGCAGATACCTCTTTGAGATACTGATTTTATTTCCTTTGGATATATACCCAGAAGTGGGCTTGCTGGGTCATATGGTAGTTCTATTTTTAATTTCTTGAGGAACCTTCATGCTGTTTTCCATAATGGCTATACTAATTCATTATTACCACCAGCAGTGTACAAGGGTTCCCCTTTTCCACATTCTCACTAATATATAATCCTCTTACATTACAGTTTTCCTATTAATAAAATAAAAGGGGGTAAAACTAGGTAATCTATGATGTTCTGTATATGAGTAAGTCCCATACTCATAGTCTGTCAATTCTTCATTCATTTATTCTACAAATGTTCATTGGATGCTGAGTATTTTGAAGCACTATGCTAGGAGCTGGGAATTCAATAGAAAATTGATGTGACCCCAGCTTCATGGAGTTTACAGTTTCTAGACAGCAGAGAGGCCATTCTTAATCACATAGGTACAAAACAAAATCACATAGGTAAATCTGAATGTGCCATGGAAGGCCTCTGAAGGAAGGCAATAGGATTCTATGAAAGCTTGTAACAGAGACATGGTTTAAGATGAGAGGACAGTGAAGATCTCAGAATGTCTCCATGAGGAAGTAATATTGCAGATAAAATTGAAGGAGAAGTAGTAGTTGCCTGTTGAAGGGGGTGGGGAGGCAGAGTGGTCCAGCAGAGAACAGCATGTGC